TAAAGGTCCAAATGGGCTTATAAGTTTAAGATGAGGGGACTTCATCATATGTGATTGCTTTGGCTCCCCAAAATTGTATGCTAAGGTGTTCCTTTCCTTTCTACGTGATAGCACCCAATCAGTAAGCCAGCCACCAACACAAGGAAGGACAGGACTTCACCCCTCCCCAGACACATACAGGGAAGGTCCCTTTTCACTGAGTACCACAGTATTACAGCTACTGTAAAGTAAGAGGTGTTGTTCTCTCCTGACAATGGGTTTTCCCGTCACCTGAAACATTATTTACCAAGTGTCTGTAACCAAGGTGAAAACACCCCCAAAGTTTAGATCTGCATCAGCATTTGCCTCAAGAGCAGGTCAGGTTACAGCTCTTATCAGGAGCAAATAAAAAGGAGTTGAAAAACAAATATAAGTATAAATTAATCATCACAAAAGGCAGGGGCCCAGGACTACTAAAGCATCTTTGTATCACAGAAAGATAGCAAGTTTAGAAGCCAGCCTAGGGAACTTGGCAGAAAGCCCATAGGAGGCTGAGCAAATGAAGCTACAGAAGTTGCAATTTGTCAGATTCAGCATTTGGGAGAAAACCCACACAAAATTCAAGGAATGAGCTGACAAACGGCCTCAGGGTTAAAACGTTGCCCTCAGCTTCCTCCAAACGCACCCCAGTTCTCCTGCACAAGCGGCTTTTTCAGACATGTTCAGTCATTACCTGCTCTTGCGACACTGGTTGCAGTTAAGGAGATCTTGGTTTCTTTTTTGACGCAATGATGCTAAGAGAGACTTTTCTCTCTAGGAGCTCCAAGTAAAAATAAAGAGGATGTTTATGACCCTAGGAAGGCAGATTTTTAAAAACAAACACACAACAAGGGTTTGGGGTGGAAATCACCCCAGGATGGGGATGGTGAGCAAAGTAACTGATTTATGGAGTAGAAGGCATTCATAGGCAAGGAGAACGAAGTTTACTGCCAACCTCTGCCACTTATTTACTTTCATGATATGAAATGTGGTGGAAATAGCCGTAAAATGTTATATACTAAGAGCCTTGTAGAATCACAGAGTGTAAGAGCTACAAGTGACCTTACAGACAAATTAATTGGTTCTCAATCATGAGTCCATGATAAAATTTTCACTGGTTCACAGAAAACTGAGACTTATTTGGATAATCTACTGTCACACTCCTTTACAAAGCAAGATGAATTCAATCTAAAGGATTGTTCTTTAGTCCGAGATTAAATTTCCCTCACTTTTGTGATATTAAAATATTCTTTTTATGAAAAGATAGTGATTATAAACAGCACTTTGGGATTTTAAAAAATAAATGTAGTCTATCTCTGTTCTTCATCATTATCCCAATTAGTTTTTAAAAATTTATTGAAATATAGCATACATACATTCCCAAATATAGTTTTAATAGTCCTATATATGAATGGCTTTCTAAGTCGGCAAAATGAAAAGTTGGGCAACCCCCTATAAGTCTCCCAAGTTGTTTTTTAAAGAAAAGTTACTGGTTCAAAGAAACTGGATTGAGTTCAAGGTCCCTTCCATTTGCAGAAAAGGAAATAAGATAGTAGAGAGGTTAAATACTAAAGCATTATACAATATATACGCTGGAGGTCCCCTAGCTAGTTAACAGCAAAGCCACGACTAGGACCAGGCTCTTATCTCCGAGTCCAGAGTTCTCACACCCTACTCACCTTCACAGATGTACAACACTAGTATAGAGTTTGATGCTAATGCCACTTACAGTGCAGAACTGGGACAAACATGATTTTATGCAGTCCATTAGATTGCATGTTAAGTTCCACTGTGCTTGCCCACAATTACCTCTTACAGTCATGACAAATAATCTTTACACAGCATGAATTAGGCATTTGTGTGGTTTTCATCGAATGAAAACTCAACAGGGTAGCTTAAGATTTTTTAAAAAGACACAAATAAATATATACTTATCTCATCACTTCCATTTACAAGCTACGCAGTTCATTTTCTTCCTTATCCGTCACAAAACAGCAGCTACCGCTATTTTTTCCTTGCAGTTCACAACCTATAGTTTTAATGCAATAATTCTGCATCTAGGACAAGATGGGCCAGCTTACTCATGTCCATCTACTGAGCCATGTCAATATTGGAAGATGACACACTTCACCAAGACAAACACACAAGCCTTTTAACATAGACCTGGAGCCAGGAAAACATTCAACGCTGTAATGTCAAAAATTTGAATACATTTATCTTGATTTCTTATTATTATTCTAATTAGTTTTATAGTCACTATATTTATGGGAGTTTCTCATTTCTGCTGTTAACTAAAGTTGCTCTTTAATATGCAGGCTCACATTCTTACCTTTCTCCTCATAAAAATTTTGAGCTAGCAGCCATAAACACAACTCCATTGTTTCAAAGAGGCCAAAATAAAACAAAGCCTTCACCTAAAGTAAGGCGGGTGCTCAGTAAACTTAAAGTATCTTACTTGGAGCCCTGGGCTTTTTTTTTTTTTTTTGAAATAATATTAGACTTACAGAAAGGTTGCAAAAATAGTTTATCTTTGTGTACTCTTCACCCACCTCTCTATAATGTTAATATCTTACATGACTATGGTACAATGATCACAACTAAGAAATTTAACATGGGCACAATGCTATTAACTAAACTACATGCTTCATTAGCATTTCACCAGTGTTCCCACTATTGCCTTTTTTCTGCCTCGTGATCCAAACGAAGATCCCACGTTGCATTTAGTTGTCGCATCTCCTTAGTCTCCTCTGTGACCATTCTTTAGTCTTTCTTTGTCTTTCATGATCTTGATACTATTGAAGAGTACCACTCGATTATTTTGTAGACTGTCCTCAATGAGGTTCATGAGGTATTTTCTCCTGAAGGGACTGTTTTGCATTGTTGACAGAATACCACACATATGTGCTTTTTCAGTGCACATATGACGGGACGTTTAATGAAATCAGAGGTCACGCCTTATTACTGGTGATGCAAACCTTGTTGACTTGGTTAAGATGGTGGCCTTGGCTTCTAATTACTCAGATGCTATCATTCTAACAGAAGGCCTTCCTGACCTTCCACACACAGCTGCTCGCAGATGGGTTTATCAAGGGCTGCGGCCCTGAAGAGAAGCCTGAGAGAATTGGACCACAGGACAGAAGCAATCTGACAAAGGAGTCATGAGGCAATACCTCCCAGAAGTCTCAGTCAGACACAGGCAGGAGACCTGGATCAGTCACGGGGCATTGCCAGGGAGCTGATGCAGAAGTATTTGTGTCCTTCTGGGTTTCTGTTCTTTTTTTCCTTTTTTCTTTACTTCTGTTTAGTTTTCTTTGACTATGGCTTCTACACTCACCTGATCTCTGATTTTAATGAAATCCCACTAAAAATATTTATCTACTGCTTTGGGGTAATTACTTCAAGTAAATTTCTATAAGCCGCCACAAACAACAGCACCCCTCGCAGTCACCTTGTTGTCATCCCTCTGTCCCCTGGAGGCAGGTGTGGGTGCACCCACGATCTAGTATAAAACTATACCACTCATTCCTGAAATAACACACAAAACAAGATTCGTTTTTTTCTTTATTTTTTTCAAATTGAGATGTAATGCACACACCATCAAATTTACCCTTTTAAAGTGAACAATTCAGTGGTGTTTAGTATGTTTACAAGGTTGTGCAACCATCTCCACTATCCCAGAATCTTTTCATCACCCCCAAAAGAAATCTCATACCAATTGTCACTCCCCGTTACTCTCTGCCCTCAGCCCCTGGCAACGCACTAATCTGTTTTCTATCTCTATGGATTTGCCTATTTGAACAAAAGTATTTTTGATCCCAAATAATAACAACCAAGATGATCTTAATACAGTTAACTTAGGAGTACACACACACACACACACACACACACACACACACACACACACACACGAATTTTAATTTTGGCAGCACCTCACTTTCCCTTTTGATACTTTGCCCTCTCCCCATTCCACCCCCCCTCCCCCAAACTGTGTCTCAGAGGTGACTTATCTGCATTTGTCCTCCTCAGGGTACAACACATCCTACTCCTTCCTTTTCTATCAAAAACTGTGTCATGTTCTATCCTCGTGAGGTAATGTGAAGTAAATTTATCTCAGCTAAGATGCTAAGAAGTAACACATTTACATTTCAGTGGCAAATGTTGGGAGTCTAAGGCTCAGCTAGGATGATCATGTGACCTAGTGTGTTGGGGACTGTGCCAGTACATGCCTGTGGCCCTGGCTTAATTATTAATGGCATCCCCTTTCCTTCTCAAAAGAGTCCTGGTTTGGGTGTTTAATTATATGCCCACCCAACCTTAATCAAAATAAATGACTAATCATGGTCATTATAGGTATTTTGCTAGGCCAACAGGGAAAATAAATTTAGGTAAATGAAGTTTCAGTGCTCCTTAAAACACACCCCAGCTCTGCATTCCCATAAAAAGTTTAAATTTACCAACCTGTAGGAATCAGGGTTTCATCCACAGGCAAAAAAGCATCAGCTTCTATAGTGACTTCATGGTCATAAATATTTGGTGAACCCTGGGGGGAGGAAAGGTAGGGGAAAAAAAGATTTAAAGCTTAGTCTTATTTTAGATATTGGCGTAATAACTTCTCTTGCAGAGATGTTTTCAGGTATTGACAAAAACTTTAGAAATCCCGTTTGACTTATGGCGATGAGTCAGTCACATGTTCAGTTACGTGTGGGTAGTTAGGGCTCCAAATTAGCAGATGATACATTTGGAAGAAGCTTTCAAGTGTGACCCCCAGTGTGCATTTTCTTTTCTAAATGGAATTAGGAAGGTGAAAAGTCAGAGAGACAGTAGTTTGAAAGCCTTTTGGATTTTGGCTTATTAGTAGGGGTTTCTTCTACTCTCCTCACATGACAGACAAACAGAAGAGCAAGGGTGGGTGAGCTGTAATTTACAGGGTAGCCAAGGCATCACTTCCAGGCTCATCAGTGGTGGGGCATGTCACCCCTTTTCTGGTCCAGCTCCCACCCAGAGGACACACACCCTGCTACGTGACAGAAGCCCAGCAGTCAGGACTGGGGTCCCTGCCTTTGAGTGTTCGTTTGCCTGTCTCCCCGCTAAAGATGCAGTCTGCCCTCCTGGGCGAGTCAAAGGCTGGTCAGTGGTCAGAAGGCCTGTGGTCCACTTCCGGCTCTCACTGAGTGGTCCCAGGGAAGTCACTTAACCTCCTAGAATCTCATTTCCTTCTGTGTAAAACTGGGCTAATGGTATTCCTACCTTTTTCCAGGATTCTTGTGAGGAAGACTTTAGTAAAGAAGTTTTGGCTGTTGCAAATTGGAAAATTACATATGTATGTTTCAAATTGAAGGAATTTTAAAAAAATGATTAATAGTCTATTTTAAAGCTTCACAGCAAAAGACCTGGAAGGGGAGCCTGGTGAGGGCTTAGTGAATGCTCAAAAATAAGCTAAACCAGTGGTTCTCAACTGGGGACGATTTTGCCCTGCTAGGCAAAATTTTACAATGTCTGGAGACATTTTTGTTTGTCCAAACTGGAGGTCTGCACCCCTGCCCAGGGCAGCTCAGACTCGAGGGGTTATCTCCTGTGTGGCTCTCCCTACTGCCATCCTGTCATTCCTCAGGGGTACTGCCAACACCAAAGAGGCCTCTGGGACTGAGGGAAGTCTCTTCCCTGAAGAGGGAAGAGAATCTGAGACTGTTTCCTTGGCTCTATCTGTTCAATGCTCAGTTTGAGGCTGAGTATAATGTCTTTCATTGTATGAATATATCACAGCTTGTTTATCCATTCTCCTGTTGATGGACGTTGTTCCAGCTTTTTACTATTATGAATAAAGCTGCTTAGGCATTTCCTTTTCCTCTTCGTTTTTTTAGCACTAGGGCAGAAAGAAAATGATTCAATATGAAAATCACACACCAAATACATGGATGCGTCCAAGATGCTAGGCAGTGGCCTAAGAGGAGACGGAGAGGAACATTTATTAGACACCTAGTCTCTGAATGGTTACCTGGGTCACTAAGCAACACTAACATTCCTTCATTAAAGGGAAGCATGCTTGATTTTATGGCTCTTCTGACCCTGGAATAATACAATGATCTCCTCTGGTGGAATATTACTGTTGGATTCATTTCCTTTCTAGGCTGATGAGAACTTGGCAAGGAATACTGATACATAAACAGAACTTGAGGCCCATCTGAGTTCAGTGTTTTGGTGAACTCTGCTTGGCTGCTACTAGTTTGCACCATTAACCATTTATAGAGCTCATCGTGGCCTGCGTGGGGCTTTAAAGACTTTTTTATGCGTTGCTACTACCACTGCCTTCATTCAGCTCTTACCACCTCTAACAGGATATAACAGACACTATTGGTTACTACCCCAAAGCCATAGCAACTCCTTTCCCAGCACTCTCCCATTCCCCTGGAAGAACCCCGACCTGTTGATTTATCCTATGCTGGGCTATATATTCAGGGGAAGGACCGCCTCGCTGGCCCCAGAGGACAACTTTTGACTGGTCTAATTCCCTTGCTGATGGTTGGGTTAGGCAGGGCATAGGACACACTTCTGGTCAACAAAATGTGAGGGAAAGTCTGCTGGGGAGCTTCTGGGAAAAGTTTTGCTTGTTCTTAAAAATGGAACATTAGAAATATGAAAAAAACGAATAGGTCCTTTTTTGTCTCTGGATGAGACTATATGAAGAGGTGATTCCTGGAACTGTGGCAACCATCTTGTAACCATGAGGAGACAAGCCTGAAGACAAAAGCCAAAACACTGAAGAAACAGAAAGGAAAGATGGAAGAACCTGGGTAGCCTTTGGTGACAAACCTACCCAGTCATATCAGAACCACATCTCAAGTTCCCCCAGGCCTGCTTTCATAGCTCTGTAGGGAAAGTTTCAATAAGAAATATGTTCTCCCAATTTTGTGTTATACAAAGGAAGGAGCAGTAAAAAAAAACAAAAAAACCCCAAAAAACCAAAAAACAACAACCCCAAGCAACCTGCAACCTACATACTTTTTCCATTCTTTGAAAAACACAGTTCTCCCTTCCCCCCAAGCCTCCAACACTCAAATTTAGAAGTGATGCGTCAAAGCTTGGCCCCAAGTAGAACAAAAATACTGCTATTAAATTTTAAAAACTTACAAAAGAAGAAAATATATTAGATGGGCTAACTACTTTAAACATCAAGTTTTTACCTGTTTCCCTGGGGAGGGTTTAAGACACATGATTATGTTTCCCCGGGTAGGACAAGAGGTGTCCTGAAAATACAGAGGTCCCTTCAACCCAAGCCTGTTGACTGACTATCAACTCTTACCCAACAGGCTGATGGCCCCTGCCCATCCTCACTCTGAAACTAATGGCTGGGGATTTGAGCTGCACTTACTAAGGCAGTATACAGCAGGGAGCTGCCACTGACCACCCTTCTGTGTGGGGTCTGTGATCTGGGCAACTATTCAGCTTCTGGAAAGAGATTCAGAAATACCTGTCACTCCAAGTCCCTGCAGGATTGGAAGGGTGTAAAAATCTGGTCAGGAGGGTCCTCCTACCAGGTAAATGAAAAGAGCCTTCGTGAACCTTACATTCCCATTTTGTTTACTTCACTGGAACATACTGGCAGATGTTAAAACTTCACATAATTTCTCTTTCTATTTCTGAATCTATTCCTTTAGGCTACCTCCTGATTATAAAATAGGATGTTCTTAGTATACAAAAATGTGGAAAATAGTGAAAAATCACCATGATCTACTGTCTACATAAAACCATTAATATTTGGTTCCATTTTTTTTTTTAAGATTTTTTATTGGGGAATTGGGGGAAGGGGAACAGACAAGTTGCTGTCCTTTTGTTCTTCAGTCTAGTTGTGGAGGATGTCGCTTCACTGGCCCAAGTTGGCACCATCATTGCGCTCTTCCCGGGTGAGGCAGATCAGTCGCCGGCTTCTGGACGGCCGCTGCTGGCCGCTCACGCTGGCTGCTGGCTACACATGGTAGCCCATGGCAACCCACTGCCACAGGGGCTGCAGCTATGCCATTGCCGGCGACTCATGGCAACCCAGCTCCAGGTTGAGCTGTTGTTCAGCATCTTAGCTGTGGAGGGCAGTGTCACTGGCCCTCATATGTGGGATCCGAACCGGGGCCCTCTGGCGTCCCAAGCCAGTTCTTAACCATCGCGCCACTCCGCCGGGCCTGGTTCCATTTTTGTCAAGTTTCTTTCTGAACTTATTTTAAAAAGTAGGGTCTTTAGTTACATGACTGCAGAGCCGCTTATGGCTGGGCATGTTTGTTTTGTTTTGGTGTTCTGGTTCGTCTTTAAGATCTCAAGAAGGATGGTAAAATTTCCTGAAGATAAGGGACAAGCAGGTGAAGAACCATCTTAATTATCTTTAAAGGGAGAACTTTGGAAATTATATAAGAACCAAGTAATTCATGCTATTTGAAAAGATCCTAGAAAAAAAAATTCAGCACCTCATCAGCAAACTCCTAAAAAAGGGCGAACATGCAAGATATTACCAGTCGGCTGTGAACATCATCTTGTGGTAGGAAATCATACCAAAATGATTCAAGTATAGTAGACAATGAATGATGGGGTCTTCAGATGAAGAGGGAGTCATAGATATAATCCAGAGTTCAGCTAAACCTTTTTATTCTGTCTCAGGCAATAGCCTCCTCAAATAGGAGGGAATGAGGTACTTTAAAGATTACCTAAGGGGGGTCGTCAGTGTCTCTACCCCACTGTTAGGGTAGGCTGTGCAGTGGGAACACACAAGTTTTGGCAGTATATATCTAAAGGGGTTGGGCCAAGTATATTTCCAAAGATCCAAGGGTGGAAAGCACTTTAATTGTAAGTAATTGGCGGGGGTGGGGGGGGTGGGGGGGGTTTGCGGCGGATAGGAGTGAAGTAGGGAAAGCAAAGGTAAGCACATGGTGTAGTTAGATGACAGGGACTTCTTAAAATAGCTAGTTAGCTGTCTGAGTGTAGGGAACCAGATCATTCTCTTGGCAGTACAATGTATTCATCCTATCTTTCTCTATAACTTCCATTTATTGAGCACCTTCTATGAGCCAGATGCTTTGCTGGGCAATTTTCATCATCACAAGGGCGACCCCATCACCAGAGTAATCCTGTACTGGGTTGTCTCTTGAGCCACTCCCCCAGGTCATTCCACAAAGCGCATCGCAGGAGAGAAAGAGACACTTTACACCTCACACCACAGCAGGAGAGCAGAGGCAAGGTCACTTACCTGGCCTGCCAGGTTGAAATAGGAATGGTTGGTCAGATTGACCGGTGTGGTCTGATTGGTCTGTGCTCGATAGTTGACCATGAGCTCCCCACCATCCAGCGTGTATGTCACCCAGACTTTTAACTCCCCAGGGTAACCTTCCTCACCATCTGGACTGACCCGCGAGAACTGGACGCCGTTTGACAGTACCCGAGGCGTCCAGAGGACCTAGAAAAAAGTGTTTTCGAAACTGTTTAGTCACTCTAATCCCAAGCTAAATGCCACATTTAAATATTAAAGACAACTAATTCCAGGAAGGGAAATGATTATATAGTCAATAAGATCTTAGAATAATAGCCTAGATTTGAATCATTCTAAAATTCTGTTTTGTACAGAAAAGAGGCTTTTGAGAGAAAAGTAGTTTTTCTCTCTACCTACTCACTCATATTCCCCATACTCCCTTTCCTTAAATCTATACATGTGTCTACAATATTTTCTTCCCCTTCTTTGATACTTTTTTTTTAAACCTCAGCACCCCATTCTGAGTGTCATATATAGCAAGATCAGCTATCTGTTAATAGTATTAAAAATAACATTAATAAATCAGCCCCTCTCTCCTGGGGGTACTATTTACAAATATTTATTAAAAAAACACTGTGAAGTTCTTAATGTTTCCTGGGCAGAGTTCCAAACAAATAAGAAGGTACTTGTTCCAATAGGAAGAATTATGATTCTAAGAGTAGCAAGAAAAATATGAAGAAAAGTTTTCTAAAAGAGTTTTTTGCTTTTGGAAATAGAAATCTTGGATTAACAGTGGTTTCTCTCAACTTAGCCCTAGAGGCCTCAAGATGACACTTATGGGGAAGGGAGAACCAACATTTATCAGGTGCCCATCATGAGCCAAGGTACTTTGCTAGAAACTTGACAGGCACTCTCTTATCTGTCTCAAAGCTGACTTAACATAGATACCATTATCCTCATTAGTGATGAGAGAACTGAGGCTCAGAAAGGGTGAACTGCTTGCCCCGGGCCACACAGCTAGTAAGACAGTAGATTTGAACCAAGTGGTCTTATTCTCCACCATCAGAGGACAAGGTAGCCAGAGACCCCCACTCCCTTTGGGGAGCCCTGGGGTCACTAGTATAGGAGCCTTTTGCAGACATGAGGTCAACAGCCACTGACCTGGTACTTTACATAAATCATTTTGCAAGGTAAGGATTTGGTGGAACCAAAAAATGTTTTTACCATCTGTGTAGGTCAAAATAGTTGAACAGCGGCAATTTCATGGGGCTTCAGCTAATATTATTACGCCCATTTAACAGATGAGCAAATTGAGTTCAGTGGAGTTAACTTGCTCACTTCCACCCTCCACATCCCAAGGAAGTAGAGTAGAACCCTTTCATACTTCATGTCCACTGTTTAAAGGTGGGGGAGAGGTGAGGGGGGATCTTGTTTAAAGAGCAAAAAAAAATCTTGTTTAAAGTTATATGTAATTAGTGACAGAGCTAGGATTCAAACTCAGTCCTGGCTGTCTACACTATTCCACATCTTAGTTTCAGTGAATGTCTTGTTCAAATCTCCATTTTCAACAGAAGAGTTGAGGCCAAAAACACGGTCATTCCAAATGGACTTGAAAGATCATAATTCCTGAGGGCCAGAGGAATAGCCTACGAGCCCAGGCTCTGCTCACCCTCTCCTGGCACGGCTGGCCTTTCTCCCACTGACAGTATTTGCCAGGAAGGGGAGCCCAGCGGGAACGGAGGTCTCTGCTTTCACCTACCGTGAAAGCAGCTGGTATCTGAAACAAATTCACTGACCTTAGTAAAAAATTAATTTCAACTCCAATTATCTCCCAGAAATGTTGAACTTCCAAGACACTTTATATATAAAACCTGCTATATGTGTGATTTAAGAGAGAAAAAAGAATCCTCCAAATGGAAAATTTTAGGAATAAAATATTTGAAAGAAAATGTTCTTAACTTGAAACCTGGTTTTTCTCCTTTAGAGAAGGGACACAATGGGAAGGTGTTTGTGTAAACCAGTACGATCGGATAAGTATAATTCCATGGAAAGTATAATTCCTATTCATGGAAGGATTTCCCTGACCCTGTAGTTTCCAAATTTCCAAATTTGCACCATTAGGCCTACTTATACCATTTCTAAACTTGTCAGATTATTCAAATTTCATCTTCTAAAAAATGTGTTGATATAAATAGAAAAACACATACCTCTAAGCCAACAATTATTCAGTAACTATTGAGATCAAACACAACTTAAAACTAAGTTCACCTGATACTGCTCACGTTACTATATCAAAACCTACTGTTCAAAAATTTTCAATGGCTCCATAACATTACAAGTCTTTCCCCACCTCTCTCGGGGCTGTTGCAAAATCATTCTCTCCAATATACACATATGAAATGAAATGCTATCCTTCCTTCAAGGGCAGTTCAAATCCCACCTCCCCAGTTGTTATTTGTCCGTACCTAGTTCCTCTACCATTCCACTGGCATCTATATTATGGGTGTTGCTGCCCACCTATAACAGTTATTTATGTAAGGGTCCTACTCCCGCACTGTACTGTGAGCCTTAGAATTCCCCATCCTGTTATGCTCCCTGGTTCACAGAAGGGGCACAGTAGGCACACTGCCCTCAAAGATATGTATATACATAGAGTCCCTATTTGCTGTGTTCATACAGGGCATACATGTTAAGCAACACCACAGAAAATACCAGTAGAATAGAGGGAGGTAGAACAAGCAAGGACAAGGTGCTGTTCCAAGGGTCCTCTGAAGATGCCTGTCCAAACAGAGCTGGGCCTAACTTCCTCTGGTTGGGGTTTGCCCACGGACCTGGCATATTCCAGAGACCCTCTGCCTGCATGCCTCCCTGGAGCGAGGAGTCCCATCACTGAGGAAAGGGGAACTGATGGGGCAGTCTGTATCTAGGCCACAGACAGGAAGTTGGGGGGACAGGGGAAACAGAGAGTGACCAGCTTCCTTCAACAGGACAGATGGGTGGTCAGAGGCTGAAAAGAAATTGTGATTCTTAACTGCCATACGTGTTCCTGTTTTCTCTGGCTCGTCTCTAGGAAATAACCTAGCTGGTATATATTAAAGGCAAGTTAACTACCAAAAAACTCTCCCTCACAGCCTGAAATTAGACTGGTAAGAGAGTCACTGGGGGTTAACTAGCAGATTCCCACCTAGCCAGGGAAGCAGGAGGCCGGGCATGCCTACCTCATTTTCCTAACCTTGTTTTCACTGGCATTCACTTGGGGAATGGGACTTTTATTGTGGAAAGGGGAACTGGGGAGAAACAGGGAATTCTGAGGCATGAGGCACTTCAGGGGAAGGGTAAGCCTGGATGCAGCACCACACTGCATGGGGAGGGGGCTTCATGACAGATACAGGGGGCTGGGATGGATTGGGGGCACCCATGGTTTTGGTCCTGGAGGACACCAGCAGTTGCAGTGCAGGAATGAGGGCTTCGGACCAGGCAGCCTGACTTAGGAGCGAGTGGCCTTTCAGAGCCTCAAGTTTCTTATTTGGTGATAATACAGGGCTCTAGTAAGGGTGAGAGATCATATATTCAAATGCCGGGCATAGTAAGTGTTTAGGTATTATTTTTAATCCACTTTCCTGTTGTGCCTAAGGTCAGCCCAACTCCCTGATCCCAACGCTGTGAGAAAGCCGTTCCTTGTCTTTCCTAAGTCAAAGGTCTTCATCCTTCCACTCAGGGCTCCCCTGCCGGTTACGGTCAGATGAGCTAGAGAAGGATGGGTCCTGGAACAGGGCCAGGGCCACTGCTCCCCCAATCCATGGGAGCAGCCTTTTTCGGGTATTGCTTTTCCAAATGCTTTTGCTCCAGGGCCTAGGATTGGGCCTGGCAAACAGAATGCATGCTTGAAGGTACTTTGTGAAAGGTGCCAGGTAAGGATCATGTCCAATGGCCCCGACTCACCTTATCAAACCCTCTGAGTCCTCCGTGCAGACTGTTGGGCCCGTTGTTAATGGCCAGCTTATACTCCTTCCCGTCCAGTGTGAATGTGCCTTTGGCAATTCGGTTGGCCACCCTGCCCACCACTGCTCCAAAGTAGGGCTGCTTTTGGAGGTACCCTGCAAGCACACAGGATGACAGAGTTTTTTAAAAACTTCAGATCGAAGGTGAGGCTCACACCGCTGCCCATCACTGTCTTCCGAGGGAATCTGCAAGCAGAACCCACTTGGGCATATCCAAGTCCTCACGGAAGCAGAGAAAAATAGTGGTCTCTACACACAAGCATTTCCCTTTAAAAGTAATAAACATTTTTAAAGAACTTTATAAAGCACAAAAAGAAATGTAGATCATCCTAATCCCATCACTAGCAAGAACCACTGTTAATATTCTTATGTATAGCCTTCTGTCATTTACTCTATGCATATATGTGCCTTTCATAAAACTGAGGTTTTAGCATACATGCTGTTTTGTAATGTTTTTCTAGGCCAATCACTTTTCTTAACTAGAAATTATATTTTTTTTGTGTAGTTTTGAGAAAAACTATCTTATTTTTTTCTCTTTTCATTAAAAAACCCCATAGCATTAGTATATGAAAATACCCTTTAAAGAGTGTTAAATAATACTTAAGTATACAGAATAGGCTTGCCAGAAGACATACAGGATGCCCAGTTAAGTCTAATTTCAGATAAATGAATATTTGAGTATAAGTATGTCCATATTATTATTATACATGCCACATACTTACTTAAAAATATCTGGTTTTTATCTGGAATTCAGATTTAATTGAGCATCCTGTATCTTTACTTGCTAAACCTGGCAACCTTAATAAAGAGTAAATCATGAAAGCCCTCCTTCATCTCTTAACTTCTCTCCTTCCCAGTGACAGCCACTGCTAACAGTTTGGCACGTACACTTTGTTTTGTTTTAATTAACTACATACACACACTTAGAAATATACAAACACATATATTCTCTATGAGAGTCCTACTGTACGCATTGTTTTTCAGTTACCAAATGTCTTAAGATCTCTCCATGTGACTACATATCCATCTACCATATTCCTTTTGATAGCTACATGGCATATTGATGAGCATAAATTGTTGTCAGCTTTTTAGGGGGCTATGAAAAGCAGTCTAGCGTCCTTGTACTTACAACTTTGTGCATGGTCATGTTACAGTACTTTCCTTCTCTTTAAGTTCCTCTATGTTATAATGTTTTAGTTCGGATTACAATGGCAGAGATTGAGGTTTGGACGTAGTTTTTCTTTTTCTTTCTTTTTTTTTTTTTGTATTATCACCAAGGGTACTTTCTATTTTATTCTTCACTTAGCTGCCCCTGGATTTCCATTCTTCTTGCCTGTGGCACTGCGTATCTATCACATCTACTGGGTCAGGAGAGTATGTAATTCAAGATATGAACTATTTTTACCACAGCTGGAGGGCTCTCAGGATACAGACCCTGAACTGATTAGGCTAGTTACAGGTCACAGGTTCCCATTACTCAACTGGTTGGGCATAAGTGAAACACTAATCCTTCTCTTCCAGGTCTTTCCTGGTTCACCTCTTTGCTAATCTGCAGGTCCTGAGTCCTGCCCATAGGCTATCATATTAGCTAACACTGAGCGCTTTCTAAGTCTGAGCCACTCTCTAGGGTCTCTACATTTAACTCATTTCATCCTCAGAACACTTCTATGAGGTTGACACTATTATCACCCTCAGGTTACAGGTGTGGAAACTGAGCACAGAAAGGTTAAGTAACTTGCCCAAAACACATTGCTAGTTAGTTAGTGGCCGGACCAGGATTTGAACTCAGGTATTGTGGTTCCTGAGTACATGTTCTTGAGCTTCACATCATTTGGAAAGCACAAGGCTTTCTGGTTCATTGAACTGACCACCATCTCTTAGCACAGGCCAGGCTAATCTCTCCACCAGCTCCCACCTCTCTCCCACCCTCCTCTCTCTTTGAAGTTGTAGCTTTAAAATCCCTTACACTGGGTAACCAAAAGGAGTCCCCAAGGGCCAAACAATCTTTTCTTGGTTTTGCTTCATCTGCTTTTGTTTGTTTTTAATACTTTATTTTTTAGAACAGTTTTAAGTTCACAGCAAAATTGAACAGAAGGTACAGAGATTTCCCATATACCCCCATCCCCCCATGTGCATAGTCTGCCCCATTATCAACACCCCCCACCAGAGTGGTGCATTTGTTACAATGGATGAACCTACACTGACACATCATAATCACCCAGAGTCCATTGTTTACACTGGGGTTCACTCTTGATGTTGTCCATTCTATGTGTTTGGACAAATGTATAATGACATGTGTCCATCATTAGAATATCATACAGAGTATTTTCACTGCCCTAGAAAATCTGTGTGCTGCCTATTTATCCCTCCCATCCCCCTAGCCCCTGGAAACCACAGGTCTTTTTGCTGTCTCCATAGATTTGCCCTCTTCAGAGTGTTGTATAGTTGGAATCATACAGTATGTAGCCTTTTAAGATGGGCTTCTTTCATTTAGTAATATGTATTCAAGGGTCCTTCCTGTCTTTTTGTGGCTTAATAGCTCATTTCTTTTTAGCACTGAATAATATTCCATTGTCTAGATATACCACTTTATCTGTCCTTTCTCCTACTGAAGAACACCTTGGTTGCTTCCAAGTTTGGGCAATTATGAATAAAGCTATTATAAACATTCATATGCAGGTTTTCTTATGGACATGAAATTTTAACTCCTTTGAGTAAATACCAAGGAGTGCGAATGCTGTATCATACACTTAGAGTATGTTTAGTTTTGTAAGAAGTGCCAAACTGTCTCCCACAGTGACTGCATCATTTGCTTTCCCAGTAGCAATGAATGAGAGTTCTTGTTGCTCCACATCCTTGTCAGCATTTGGTGGTGTCAGTGTTCTGAACTTTGGCCATTCTCATAGGTCTCATTGTTATTTTACTTTGTATTTTTCTGATGACATAGAATGTGGAACATTCACTTGCTTTGCACGAGCTCAAAAATGTGAAGAAAAGCAGAATTTTTGTTCAAAAATTGTTTGGCTATATCTATTTTTGACTCTCACCTGAATTTTTTCAACAAGTGTACGTTGAGCCCTTACTTTTTTTCAGCCACATGCTTAACACAACAACAAATCCAATAGCGAAGCTGTTGCCTCATGGGTTTGTAAGAATGCCTTCAGAAGGGACCACTTCCTAGCAACAGTTAATAAGCCCATAGAGATAAGAAGTACTTGTTGGTCCTTAGTTTAGATGAAGAGTTTTTAAAGATTAAACCATAAGGACAGCAGAAACCATTGCTCCCAACTGTCTTGGAAAAGCTCTTCAGAACAAATGGATTTTGTACTATCTTCATATATTACTAAGCTTTTATATTAAATTGGAATTATAAAAAGTGACAGTCTCCAAATCCTAAATAGGATATGACTAAAAAGCTTGTTTGGAAATACAGAAAACACGGTTTGACATGAAAAAGAGCAAAGTTTCTAGGTCAAGCCAGATTTAATCAAGATTAAATGCAGATTTATTCAAGTTAATTGCTGACGTAGAATAAAGGGTACGGGAAAAGTCTGTCTTTTTTTCTGGGCATGGGGTTGGTCAGAATATATTATTAATAAATGCTTAACCATGGGTTATGTGGCCCTTTCCATTCTCTGACATCCCAAGGATCCCAGCTATGACATCCATCCTGGACAGCCCAAACCTTCGCCCAAGTGCCCTAAAGTCTCAAACAAAATTGCACACGAGTCTCAGTCGCAAACTCTATACCCTGAACAACTTTCCTTTGGCTTTCTGAGCAAAACAAACATTACTTTAATTGACAAGCACTTTAAGGATCCCAAATATTTTATTTTTAAATGGCTGCTGGTTGTCCCCGATGAATCTCCATGCCATTCTTTTTTGCAGTTAACAAAGTGAAATAAGAAGTTCAAAGTGTGAAGGAAGATAGTTAGGGGCAAAGGAAGGAAAGGAGATAAAAATTATTAATTGTTCACCATAGTCACACAACATCACAGCCGATAGCACATTTAATCATCATTATCCATTTGTTTCAGGTGAGGAAACAAATGGAGCTCACATAGCTGTAAGGGACAAAGCAGATTTAAACAAGGAATCCCTAATGCTTCCCTAAGTGCACTCTTGGACATCTGTAATATTAAACTGCAGCCTCTAAACTGGTCCCTTTCCCTCCATCCCCTCTTATGAACTCAGGTTTTCTAAAAGCACTAAGCTTATTTTTTTCTAGTTTTTCTACAGTGGCTCTCATGGCGATAATAGCTAGGTGTTGGGTGGTAACTGGGTGTTTGGTGGGAAGATGGAGGGAAAGGAGTTGCATGGATTGTATGGGTAGGTTGTTTATACCTGTGGCTTATAAGCAAATATTCTCATCACGGGTTTTGAAAGAAGAATGACTGCAGGTGGGACATGCAGATGAAAAACATTTAAAAATATTTTAAATACAAAAAATGGTAGAAAAACTCACAGGAGACATGACTGATTTTTCCAGCCTGTAACTAAAAGATCATATGATTTACCTCTTTAGTATTCTACAGAAGAAAGATCTCATTTTCCCAGGAAGAAATTGAATCATTCTGACCTCTGATCATGGCCATCATCCAAGCAGTTTATATAATCAATCTGGGAAATTGGAGAGCGTTCACATCTAACCTGGCAGTTATAAAAGGGCCATGTCTAATGGAATTATCCATGCTTAGCTCTTCCCCATGGCTCAAAACATTTTTGGGACACGGTAATGAATAAGATATACTTTGTCATATCTTATTGCTTTTAAGTTATTTGCCTGTTTGTTTATATAACATACTCAGATATTCTTAAAGACTATATAATGAAAAGTAAGTCCTTCCTATTCCTGTACCCCAGCTACCCAGAGTCCTTGCTTAAAAAACAACCACTGTTGCCAATTTAACATGGGTTTTAATACACTAGACTTGATCAAAATAGCAGCAGAGCACCATTTCATACTACAGTCACATGTGGCTTAACAACAGGGACATATTGTTAGGAGATTTCGTTGTTGTGCCAACATCATAGAGTGCACTTACACAAACCTGGTTTGTAAAGTCTACTACAACCCTAGGCTACAGGGTGTGTCACCGTAGTATGTGTGGTTGGATGTTGATGTAAACGTTGTTATTTGGTACATGACTGTAATCTGATTGAGACAATTATGCTTCCTGTTATGACATATATGAAGTCTTCTTTATCTTTAGCAGTACTAAAAAGAATCTACAAAAAACCGAAAGCCAGGGCCTTAAAAAGGGAACAAAGGGCCGTCTGCAATAACCTCAAAGATGGCTGTAGGAAGTGTTACTTGATATTCCGGGCTTTCTTTCTCAACATCTCTTTTGAAAGCAGCTTGATTTCCTTTTAAAATAAATAATCAAATTATCTACATTATAGCATAGGAATGAAAACATCTCTCTTGATCCAGCACCTAGCATATTTTAGATACTTTTTGTGAAGTTTGTGATGCATCCTGGTTAAGAAAATGCTATTTCACTTTCTCAAGAGATGTCAGTATCATGGAGGGCAAGATGATACAAACCAGATCATTGTAATCTGAGAGGATCACTTTTTTTTTCCTCCCTTTTAAGACCATTTAGGGATAATACTTTTTTTCACCCAGACTGCCACGAGTCATAGACTCTTAGAGACAACTGTATAAATGCCCTCACAAAATCAGCACTCCTATACCTGGTGCTTCCCAGGTGCCATGTCATCATGACACGCATTTCATATGAATTCCAGAAAGACACCTTGTGCTTTAAGATCCATGTGACTCACATCAGAACTAAAAACATTAAGAACTGAGTGTGTGTGTGTAGGGCCTAAATGGTGATAAGGCACAGATGGAAATGAGATGATACAAGGGGGTGCTCTTAGCTTATCATTTCCAATTCTTTTCTGGCTCTGCAATTAATTGTAGGCCATATATCCAATTCTTTGACTCCATGGGCAATTTTGCACCAGTCAAGTCATCTCCTGGTGGTTCTGTTTCAACCTAGAAAATGGTTATGCTACTAACAGAGAGAGGTGATTAAGCAAAATGATTCTAAAGAATCCTCTTTTATCACTTGTCAACCCTCTCGTCTTCTGACTTTGATGACAGATGTGAACCCCTAACCCCAGAAATTCCAGGGGACTTGGAGAGGAAGGGGAAGTGGAGCTGATTTTCCTCATGTCCCTATACCTTCCTACCCATGAGTCTCCCGTAACAGACTTGCTGAAGTTACTAAAGAGATCCTGCTGAAGATTACCTACCCACTCTCCAAGACAAGCTGTGGAAGCTCCAAGGCAGATAAAAACAACCAGAGAGCAAGGAATAGGACCCTCAGGAATATTCTAATACATTTTGTTAAGGATATGGGGAGCAAATTTCAGTCTCCTAAGGGAAAACCAATATTCCCAAGAGTTTTCTGTTGACCTCCAAACATGAGCCATGCTAGATATCTAAAGAACCAAACAAACAGAAAGACACACCTAAAGGAAAACCTCAAACCTCCTCCCTAACAGATTTTGTCCACACCCCTACCACTGAGCAGAGGGTATTACTTCTCAGGGAGTTTCCCTTTGCCAACTTTATTTCAGACCTCATTTTCTCTCTAGTTACACCCTAGTGCTAAGAGACCACTACCGTGTTTCCCCAAAAATAAGACTTAACTGGAAAATAGGCCCTAGGATTTTTCAGGATGCTTGTAATGTAAGCCCTACCCCAAATATAAGACCCAGTTAAGGCTGTCAGCCAGACATGACTGTTTGAATAAACGTAGATTTTGTAAATGAATAAATGTGGATTGTTAAAGCAAAAATTAATATAAGACCTGGTCTTATTTTGGGGGAAACACGGTATGTACATTTTTGTTTGTTGTGATCGAAGTGCAATTGTAATTATTTATTTATGCAACTATTTGGCTAAAGGTTATGTCCCCAGCTAAACTGCTAGCTCCATGAGGGTGGGGACCTTGTCTGTCTCATTGAATGAGATAACTGAATTAACAGTTTTTCAATGCATAAATTAATAGGTTATCCTAATTGCCCACAGATTCCAACAAAATAAAAGTCCACCCTACTTAGAAGGAGACTTCATTTCTATGCTTCATTGTTCCATTTCCTACATGGTTATTGAGCAGCAAGGGGGTGCTGGGCACTAACCCCACTGGTTAGATCAAAGTGGATAAGCTGTCTGTACCCCCTGAGCATTTGAGAAAACCACTGCCTCAAAGAATCTGATCAAGGAAAAAGGAAGCAGAAGACGCAAGTCTTTGATTTTCCTTCTTCAGAAAGGGAAAGGGGAAGTTACTGGCAGCCACACCCCCTTGCCAGTTTTTTCCTCTCCTGCCCTTATAAAGCTCAGGCAGTTCAAAGGTCGCTCCAGGGTTGCTGGAATTTTAGCTTACCCTCGTTGACTTTTGAAATTAATCGAGGCAAAGCCTGTATGGATAACCAGAGGCCAAGTCCTATAGCTGTTTCTATTCATTTTGTCTTTTTCCCAAGCACTGAATCGCAACACAGTGAGTTAGCGGGATCCAAGCATTCCTGACCGTCCCAAGCTCGGGACCTTCCCCCTAGGTCCCTGCTCCACAAGCAGCCCGATCCGGCAGGAGGGGCGTGTGCAGAGTAGGCCTGGGGCCGGCCAGCGGCCTAGGGGCAGAGTTCAACCCACCTTCCAACTCGGCAAAGCCGAGGACCACATCTGAGGCTCTGCCCTGCCTGTCTTTGACCTCCAGGGCCGTGATGGTGCAGCCCCAGGAGATGATGTCCACTCTCAGCAGGTCTGACTGCAGCTGGAACTTCTCCACCGTCCCTGCCCCCAAGGGCAGGTCTCCAAACACGGTTCTAGTCACCGACACCATTGAGAAGTTTCAAAGTGTGCTGCTACTCCCGGCCTTTGGAACTCCTGCCGCCAAACTTGGAGCGACTGAAGTTTACAGGAGAAGGGGCGGGACACGGCTCAGGCTCCTCCCCTTCCTTGCCTGGATTTAGGGAGTGACCATTCCTGCAAAAAATATCTATCCTCTTGGGGCCTTTCTAAATTATTCGTTTGCCTAAGGGTGACTTGAAGGCAAAATTTCCAGCCAGGTTTGCAGTTCCTTTCTTTTGCTAACTCGGGCTGCATTGCATGTTGGGAATGGTAGTCTTTGGAAAGTGAAATTGCATTTTGGGGCCTGTAGTCTTTCTAACCCCAATCCTGAGTCTGCAGGATTGTACCCCATTCTTTGGCCCATGGCTCTCAACGAGCAATGAGCTGTTCATTAATGTTGGTGGCTGACTCTCAGATAAAATGCTGGAAAATACGGAGAACAGAATTAGGGACAGTGTGACAGATCTTGGGGGAAAATTCTCTCCTGACCGCAGGCCCAGAGTAGCAGCATAGACAGGGTCAGAGGTAGATGGTCAGGTGTATAAGAAAGTGATCAGAAGAAGACTCCTGCTTTCTTTTCTTCAGGGCACTGGGAAAGGGTACCTACCTCCTCTTGTTTCTGAAATTCAAACTTCCTTTAAGAAGGGATTAAGGCAACAAATATTTATTAAGCTCTTCATAAATGTTAGGTACTGTACTTTTATTACCTCCTTTCCGCAAGCAGAGAAAGGCCTTAAGTATCTATTGCTGGGAGAGGGAAGACACTGAGGTCATTATATAATGGTCATGCTTTAGTGCGACTCAGAATTATTTGAGGAGATTTTTTTTTATTTATTTTTTTTAGCTGACCCATCCTGCTGCCTGGTGGCAGCTCAGCTTGGGCTGGGAATCGAACCGCTGTTGCTCAGAGCTCACACTCTTGAGCGAACTCTTAACTAACTGAGCCACTCGGCCGGCTCTTGAGGCAATTTTAAAAATGCATATATCCTCAGTACTGTCCCTGGAATTTTTGATTCTATGGTGACATTCAGGAATCTGCCTTTTTCACAAATCCCCCAGGTTCTTCCAATGCAGGTTATCTGGGACCAAACTTTGAGAAATATTGCTCTAAGTTTTGATGACTAATCTCAGGGTTTCTTTTTCCCCCGAAATAGGCTTGGATGACAGAGGACTAAAATACAGCTATTAAGGGCCTTAATTGGATTGTCAGGTAACATACAGGAGCCTGTGTATTTCTTTGTGAAATCTGGCAACTCTAGACAGTACTGGACCTAGAAAGGAAGGAAGGAAGGAAGGAAGGAAGGAAGGAAGGAAGGAAGGAAGGAAGGAAGGAAGGCTGGAAGGAAGGAAGGAAAGAAGGATGCTGGAAGCCTGAAAATATTTACTTGACTGCATACTCATCTAGTCTTTGTTTGATGTTGCCTTTGGTTTGGTTCCTAGGTACTTCAGAGGGGATCCAACTAGACTGTGGTGAGTGCCTAAAGGATCTATGATTAGGAACTTTGGAGAATTCGGATCAGGTTCCTGGAATCAGATGCTGATAAAACATAACTGTCTCTCAGCCCTTTCTGTCTGTGTGGTTGGAAGGAATAATTAGCATTCTTGCCACAAAGCCTCAATTCTCATTCGTGAAGCAGGGGAATTCTGATAGCAAGGGAAAATGTAAGCTTCCTACAGGCTTCACTGAAACCTAACATATAATAACAAAAAGACCCAAACAAGTCGAATTACAGACTGCTCCACACTCATCCAGCAACTGACAGGCACTCTTATGTGCTGTTTCATCAGAAATTCTCATAAACTCTGCAATCCTCATCAGCCCACTTAACATTTATGGCTGATTCATACACAAACCCTTTTGTCAATGCCGTGTTAGCAAGGATGTCTTAGAATCTCTTCTGTGAGCAAGAAGACTGCATTTTCTTTTCTCAGCTGCCAGTTCTCAATGTTCTGCCAAAGTTATGTTGTCACGGAAATAAATAAATGCATTTGAATGGCCAAAGACAGATGTCACAAGGGAAAGTCTTGTAGCTTGGCTTGGTAGAAAATGAAACATCTTAGATGTCTCTCTAAGATGTAAGGAGTACACTTCTTGATTTCGTTTTCCTTTCGCTTTTTTTAAAAGATTTTTATTGGGGAATTGGAACAGTGCTGGGGAATTGGGGGAAGGGGAACAGACAAGTTGCTGTCATTTTGTGTGTGTGTTTTTTTTGTTGTTGTTGTTGTTCAGTCTAGTTGTGGAGGAGGTTGCTTCACTGGTCCAAGTTGGCACCATCATTGCGCTCTTCCCGGGCGAGGCATATCAGTCGCCGGCTTCTGGACGGCCGCTCACTGAGGCTGCTGGCCGCTCACACTGGCTGCTGGCCGCTCACACTGGCTGCTGGCCGTATACGGTAGCCCATGGCAACCCACTGCCACAGGGGCTGCAGCCTATGCCGTTGCCGGCGACTCATGGCAACCCAGCTCCAGGTTGAGCTGTTGTTCAGCATCTTAGCTGTGGAGGGCAGTGTCACTGGCCCTCAT